TATTAAAAGGAAGCACCAACACATCATAGCTTCCACGTTGTCTCTACTGGCCACCTCCTCTCTCCCCTTTAGTTTTTGGGTTGATGCTACAATCATGGCTACTTTCTTGATTAACAGGCTTCCTATTGGGAATACTGGGAATACTGGGAAATTTTGTTCACACCACATGGTGTGGTAATACTGCACAAGCTGTGTGCATCGAGGTGGTGTCTCAGTAATAATCTCACTACAGACACCACTGATCCAACATCACCACCGTTGCAGAGTTCTGGTGCAATACTCAACAACACTAATCATGGTTTGGGAAGCTCCAACACTAATGATGGGAATCATGAAGTCCACAACACCACCTTTCAGCCTTCTGAGTACAACAACAACTCTCTTGAAAATCCTTCATCACCTAAGCCCATCAGCATCACTGAGACACCACCTCGACGCACATGGCATGTAGAGGAGTAGGAGCTGTTAGATGCCACCGAACCAGCTCCACTACCAAGCCAAAATTGTTCACACCACATGGTGACTCGATCGCTGGATGGTACATTACCCTTACGGGCCAGCACTGAAGTCAGGTACCCATTACCCAATTGAATTCTAATTTTGTTGAGCCCACTACTTTCTTTGAAGCCTCTAAGCACCCTCATTGGCAATAAGCAATGACAAAAGAATATACTGTCTTGGTGAAGAATAAGACATGGACCTTAGTCCCTAGAAAGCCCAATATGAACATTATAGGAACAAAATGGGTCTATAAAATAAAGAGAAAGGTGGATGGGTCAGTAGAACAATACAAGGCCCGTTTTGTGGCCTAAGGATTCTCTCAAGTTCCAGGAGTAGATTTCTGTGACACTTTTAGCCCAGTTGCAAAACCAGTAACCATTTGTACCTTGCTTGCACTTGTTGTATCTCAACGATGGCATGTTTATCAATTAGACTTTGATAATGCCTTTTTAAATGGGTGCATTGAAGAAGAAATCAATGTTCGGCAGCCCTAGGGGTTTGAACACCCACAATACCCTTCCCATGTTTGCAAACTTGGCAAGCCTGTATGGGCTTCAGCAAGCACCATGGGCCTGGTATGCTCGCCTTACTTCTCATTTACTCACCATTGGGTTTCAAGGCTCCAAATCAGACCCATCTTTATTTGTTTACTCTAAGGGAAAGGTAAGAATTTACATGCTCATATATGTGGATGCCATATTCATTACCGGAAATATGTCTCAAGCTGTGAACAAAATTCTCTCCACTCTTGCTGCAACATTCTCACTGAAGGATTTGGGACCAGCCCATTACTTCTTGGGCATGGAATTCGTTCAACAAAAAACTGGGTTGCTTTTGTCCCAAAGAAGCTATGTTCTGAATCTGTTACAAAGGGCCCACATGCTTCATGCCAAGCCCATTTCTTCTCCAATGGTTGTAAACTGCAAAATCTCAAAGGTAGATGGCACATCTCTCACAGACCCCACTGAGTATCGAAGCATTGTAGGGGCTCTACAATACGTGACCATCACTAGGCCCGACATAGAATTTTCAGCCAACAGAATATGTCAATTTCTTCATTCTCCATCCACGGAACAATGGCTGCAGTCAACCGCATTATGTGTTATTTGAATGGCACTATTGATCATGGGCTCTTCTTTGCCTCTACACCAAGCCCACTTTCCTTTCAAGCTTTTTCAGATACTGACTGGGTTGGGTGCTCAAATGACAGAAGATCCACCGGAGGGTACACGATATTCTTAGGCCACAATCTTATTGCGTGGAGTTCTAAGAAACAAGCAACTGTGGCGCATTTGAGTACCAAATCTGAGTTTCGAACATGTACGGATACAACTATTGAAATTTTATGGCTAAGGGCTCTACTTGATGATCTTAAAATACAATTACCTCAGCCATTGGTAATTTGGGTACAACGTCCTTTTTAGCCTCCAATCCGGTCGATATTCAAGTACAATTTATATCTTCCGGTGATCAAGTAGCTGATGTTACTTACCAAACCATTAGATGCTTCACATTTTCAGTGGTTCAAGTTCAATCTTCACATTCTGAAAGACCGTTCACTTGAAGGGGGCGTGTTAGAGAACACGTGTATGTGAAACTCCATGATATGTTGGAGTCTATCAGATGATGATCTACTGGAGTCCATTGAAAAATCTTATCTTGTTGAGTTATGTGTTATCTTATCCATGTAAGTCATTTAATGTAATCCAAACAACAAAGAGTTTCAGTGTAATTCAAACTCAATGCATCTAGATAGAAATCAGGACCGACACCTCAAGCAATCAGTTCCTAATAGATTTTGAATCCTCAGCTATTTATCTATAACACCACTTCCACCTCTTCTCTCTCTACCACTAAATCATCTCTTCCTTCTACATCCGAATCCCTCTCCACCACATATTCTAGGTTAAGGGTGTTAATGGACTGGTTTTGGGTTGGACCCCGTCCAGTCCAAAACCAATTTCGACGGATTGGATGGACCAATAAAATATTTATTAGATTGGATTGGACCTAGTCCATCCGTAACAAATTTATGTTGGATAGGGTTGAATTAAGCTAATATTTGGTCCATTGATATATATATATATATATATATATATATATATATATAAATAATGGATTAGATTTGGGTTGAAATCAATCTAAATCAAAAATGAATTTGAGCAGATTGGGTGGTCTAGACATTGAATTGGACCAGTCCAAATTGGTCCAAAATATTCATTAGATTGGATTGGACCTGGTCCATTTATAATGGACTCACATTGAACTGGATCGGATTGGACCAAATCCAAGCCAATTGACACCCCTACTCTAAGTTCTTTCCCTTTACTCTCCTGCAACAAATCCTTAAACCAGCTTTTTTCATGATCCTTTCTAATAAAATCAAATTTCTTAGATTTCTTACTAGATTTAGACTTAGCCTTGACCTTCTTGGTTCCACCACGGCCTTCAGTCGCTTCCATTTTGACACTACAGGGACTAAAGACTGAGAGCCCTTCATTAATCCCAACTAATAACCTCTTACTGGCATCACCCAACCCATCCTATCTCAATCCTTGGGTGCAAAACGAGCCTACTAGAATGGGCCTAGGTCCATAAAGCGGCTCTATCTCATCCCTCGACCCGGCTTCCTTGGAAAACCGCGTCAAACTCAAAAGGCGCATCTGATCTCCTCTTGGCTCTTGCCTCTTTCAAGGCCCACATACCTCCATCTTCCATCGTCTCCATTGTAACTATAATGCTCAAACACCATCTTTTGACCGTATTTTCAATGACTCCGGATCTCCTGCTCGCGAAAACTCTGCCTACACCTACTCATAATATACTATTCTCTGAATTGGAAACATCTCTCCCTACATAATACTATGTAGAGGATGAGATTTCAATTCTCCATTCCGATGGGATTTACTTCTACTGATGGACCTGATGGAATGGGGCCTACCTCTTGGACCAGATTTCGAACTTCTTCGGAGCTCACCAATCACCTCATACACAGGGCCTCGCCAATCTCCACCCTAGATCTCTTCAAACACTTTCCCTGTAGTCCCCATGCATAAGATCAATTGCCACCCTAGCCAGTCTCCACCCTCGCCAAAATCAAACTGCACGCTCAAGAGTAATTTAAAGTTATTAATTCGAAATTGTCATTTTCAAAATTGATTTTTGACTTAATTATTGTATACCAAGTGGGAGAATGTTATATTGTGGTCTTCACAAGAATTGAGAAATGTTTTCTTTGAAAATCCAGGGGCCATATATAATTTACTATAATAGTAAAATCTCAAGCTGGCAAGCGTGATAACGCAGGTTTGAGACTTTGAGTTTGAGAGCTGACTCTGTTTTTTTTTTTTTTTTAAAAAAAAAGGAAATGCCAAAGGCTATTAGGGCTATAGAGGACGTATATCATACATAACTTGAGTTGAAATTTGATTAGAGTAGTAGAGTGCTTGATGAGCAAGGCTTCAAGTCTACATCTATATGTAGATTGTAGAGAGGGTCCTAACCCTCGTAATACACTCACAAAAGAGGAAACCCTATATATCCCCCATCTGTGCATAACCGAGCAAAAGGTTGATGAGCTTCTGTCCAGACATTGGTCACTTAATTTCAAGAAGCTCATAGTAGAGATTTGGATTTCTTCAATGGTTGATCACCAATGGCTGGTAAGTCAATTAGTTTATTAATTAGAACACAGGATTTTAATTTCCATTTTTTCCTCATAGAGCTTACATCACCCACATGATCATTCTCTACATCTTGTGATGATCTTAAGTGGCCCCACCAATTTGTACATTAATTCATGGTCGGTCTTACTCCAAATACCAATCAAAGGTTATAATCATAGGATCCTTTTCAATGATAATCAACTTATTAATACTTGGTTTTCTATACTCCACCACCATGTATGATCCATTTCTTTACCATGAATAGAATAATTCATCCTGTGCTATCGATTTTACACATATTTCATGTGCTATTCACAAACAATAAAACATTCTGGAGCCTTAAAAGATTTGCAAATCGGCTCTCTACATACACAAATCCAACATCGATCAATGGGCTGTCATTCACCCACGTACATCCCCAATAAAACAAATTTCAAACCCATTTCGTAAGATTAGCTAGGGAAACCTCCAATGGTTAACGGATTCTAAGACTTTCAACAAACCCATTTCGTAAGAACTAGGGAAACCTCCAATTAATGGTTAATGGATTCTAAGACTATTTCAACAAACCCATTTCGTAAGGAATTGTGTATTAATATTACATTAGTCCATGTAGACATTTTATTGTAACCTAATTATAAACTAATGTTTGTGAATGGACAACAGGGGGCTATTTCATGTAAGCATGCGCCACGCATGGTTAAATAAATTTACAAAACCATAAACGGGTTCAAACATTTCAAACAGACAATTTCAATTCCTAGAGAGCCAGAATTTTGCCTATTTAAAGAGCACAATCTTACATTCTCAAATCATTGAAAGTCTGAACTGATCAACACATCAAGGAAATAGATATCAATAGCTAGCAAATGTGCAGGGTGAGGGTCTCCATGGATAAGCCCGTATTGGGTTTTGCGGTTGTGAGCATTTCTCTTGCTTTGGTTATTGGGGTGGTGAACTCTGAGACAACATCATTTTGTAGCCAAACTCCGTATCCTGAAACATGTGAGTCCTTCATGGCCCGTTCTAGACCTCTTGTCACCTTAACCCAATTCAGCTTCCGGGAAACCACCCTTAATTTGACCTTGGACCAAGCCCTACGAGCTCATGGGCTCATTTCTGCCATGGAATTGAGCTCATTTGGTGAGAGGGCCAAGGTGGCGTGGGCTGATTGTGTGGAGCTTTATGCGGACACAATCACCCAGCTTAATCGCACAGTACTGGTGACACAGAATCCATTGGCCTGGTGGAATGCTCAAACATGGCTGAGTGCTGCGATCGCCAACGAGCAGACATGCCAAAACGGCTTCCTTGACTTAAACATGTCTTCTTACTTGTCTTCCTTTCCTTATATGTTGAGCAACTTCTCCAAGATGGTTAGCAACTCGCTTGCCATAAACAAGGCATCGGTTTTATCAGCAGCGTCTCTGTTGGGTAAGCAAGGTGGTAATCGCCGGTTGCTTTCTGATGGCTTCCCGACATGGGTCTCTGCTGCAGACCGGAAGCTTCTTCAGTCACCCGGTGCAGCTTTACGAGCTGATGTTGTGGTGGCCGCAGATGGGTCTGGTAATTACAAGACCATCTCTCAGGCGGTGGCTGCTGCTCCAGGAGGTGGGTCGAAGAGATTTGTAATATATGTGAAAAGGGGAGTTTACAAAGAAACCGTTGAGATTAAGGCACCAAACATCATGTTGATTGGAGACGGGATCGATGTTACAGTTGTTACTGGCAGTAAGAGCATCCAGGATGCTGGCACAAGTTTCCGATCAGCAACAGTTGGTAATTAATTATGCTCTCTCTCTCTCTCTCTATTGCATGCGTGCCTCATACATATATGACATACTTCGATGATGGGTTATGTCTTCTCTTCAGGGATCACCGGCAATGGGTTCATTGCTCGGGATATGACGTTCGAAAATACAGCGGGACCCCAGAAGCACCAAGCAGTTGCCCTCCGCTCAGGCTCGGATCTCTCAGTGTTCTACCGGTGCAGCTTCAAAGGTTACCAAGACACCTTATACGTGCACAGTAATCGCCAGTTCTACCGCAACTGCGACATCTACGGCACGGTTGATTTCATCTGGGGAGATGCCGTCGCTGTTCTCCAGAATTGCAACATCTATGTTAGAAAGCCCATGAGCGGTCAGAAGAATACGGTGACTGCTCAGGGACGGACAGACCCCAACGAGAACACAGGCATTTCAATCCACAATTCATTGGTAACAGCCACTTCTGACTTGAAGGCTGTTCAGGGTTCATTCAAGACATACCTCGGGCGGCCATGGCAAAAGTACTCGAGGACAGTATTCATGAAGACATCTCTTGACAGCCTGATCGACCCGGAAGGGTGGCTCGAGTGGAGTGGCAATTTTGCATTAAGCACTTTGTACTATGGGGAGTTCTTGAACACCGGGCCCGGTGCAAGTACAAGTGGGCGAGTAAAGTGGGCAGGTTTTCACGTCATGAACAAGGCTGACGCCCAAAAATTCACCGTCGAGAGCTTCTTGGGAGGAAGCTCTTGGATTGCAGCTGCCGGAGTCCCCTTCACTCCTGGGCTGTAACTACTTGGGAATTGGAATATTTCTCCTTTGGGAGAGGGCTTCTTTTTATAAATAAATAAAGCGAGTGTTTAGTTTATCACTTTGATAGCTTTTGGATTATCTCTCATGAAGTCAAGACTTGGGAGTTGGGAGGATCAATACCATCAAATAAGTCTCACCTAAATAAAAAAACGATCAACTTTCAGACATGATGATCTTCAAATTACTTTTGGAATTCTAATATACTAGCGGATTTCGGAATGGAACCGTCGACCTGCTGATTCGTTGATCCCAGGTCAAAAGCTATTTAATCGGTCAACAATTCATTGATTTAAGCGGTCGAACTGTCAACCCAATGACTCATTTAATGGTTTTTAGTCATTTTTTATTATTATTTTTAGTTGTAAATCATCCAAGCAATCGGTTCTGTTTTATCCTAATCTTGGTCCATGACAAAAAATCGTTGAATCGGTCAACAATCCATTGACCCAGGCAGTTGAACCGTTGACCCATTCAATGGTTTTTGTTCGTTTTTTATTTTTTATTTTTTATTTTTTATTTTTTATTGTCAAAACGGGCCATCCATTCAAACCTTACAGTCGAACTGTTGACCCAAAAATCGATGGCTAGAATGGTTCCGTTTTCAGGTCGTATGAGTCACACGCTCGAATGACATAACATGTATGGTATTGCTTAATGGACGTCACACACTCAATTTTTTGCCTATAATTTTTGTTGTCAGAACAGACCGTCAAATCGAACTGGATGATCAAACCGTCGACTCGAAAACCGGTGGCCATAATGGTTCCATAATTTTTTTGCTTGTAGTTTTTGTTATCAGAACGGGCCATCTGTTTGAACCGGACAGTCGAACCATCGGTTGTCAAAATGTTATTAGCAACATTTATCAATAATAGTAAGTAATTATAGTATTTAATTAAATAATCAGTAATGATAGTTTTAATAATATTATTTAGTTATTTTTAATATAACAATAAATATTCATTAATTAATAATTACCAAAATTAAATTAAACTAACAGTGTTTATCAATAATAGTCAATAATTATAATATTTTATTAAATAATCAATAACAATACTTTTAATAACATTTTTAATTATTTTTAATATAAAAATAATTACTAAATTTATTAATAACAATATTTATAATTTTAATTTAAAGTGAAATTAAAGTAAATATCTATTTATTAACAATATTTATAATAACAATAATTATTAATTATAATCACTATTTATATATTTATTAAATTACTATAATAATTAGTAATTAATTACTGTAATAATCGGTAGATTCCATTAATGAAATTACACTAATTAAATTATAGTAATTAGATATTATAATAATTAGTAGATCTATTAATTACTATAATTAATTATAGTGTTGCTCTCACATGGGAATCTACTCGCACGAGTAGATTCCATTTCCTACACGAAGAGAGCAGCCTTATTGTATTAATATATCGGGAAAATTTCCCATAGGTACCTTGTACTTTAGGTCGAGTGCCAATTTAGTACCCGAATTTTAAAATGCGACAATCTAATACCTGAACTTTCATTTTGCGACAACTTAGTACCCAACGTTAATTCACCATCGGTTAGAAGACAAAAAGACTTAAATACCCTTCAACTATTTCGAGTAATGCATGAATTCTTTATTGAAATTACAAAAATGATCCCATCAGCTATTTCGACCTATGCAAGCAGTTATTGAGATTGGGTCCAAATCCAAACTGTCCAAATCTAAGTAGTGGGTTCCACCCTTGAGAGTTAAATTGGGTAAGATTCTTTCCTGATGGTCTGATATGATGTGAGCTCAGATTTGAGATTTCAGTTGGGAAGACATTAATGATTTTAATGATTTTAATGATTATATTCGAAACTTCGGAGGTCAAAACACAAAAACGTAGAGGTTTTGCGGAATCTATGGATTTCTCATACCAGTCTAAAACCACTTGCCTTTCCTCTACAAAAGCCCATCGGGCTTCTTCTTGCCGGCATCGGAGGGGTCGTTGCTTTCGGAACCACCATCGTTGCCGATGTAGAAGACCACCATGATGAGAAGCCTCACCATGTGCTACGCCAGAACTTTGAATGTGTGATATCTCTCCGGATTTCGTAGGAGGAGAGGGATTATTGAGAGAGAGAGAAGTGAGTGTTGTCACTATTCCCCAAAGGAGACGATGAATAGTGATGAATGGATGGCGAGGTTCAGACAAGAGGAAGGAGAAGAAGGTGAAGATGGGAAATGGGGAAAGAAATACCGGGAAAGATGATGAAGAAAATCGGCGAAACCTTGTGCAGAGGAGAGCGAACTCACCATCTCCTCCAATGGTCTGGGAGAAAATGGCAAATTGGTAATGAACAGTATGAATTTTGGAAGTCATCATGGCAGTGAAAATGCTAAATTGGCAGCCCAAGTAATCTCAACTGGCATCATCTTTGATCTCTCGTCTCTCACTCTGCGCAACGTAACTCTTATAATTTGAAAAGAAACTCTCTCTCTCTGATCTCTCATGGCTTCTGCAACTTCTTATATGGAAGACACAATGGCCAACGTTGGCCTTTGTAGTGCCAAGGAAGAAGACGTTGAGGTTACTAAAGATGCAATCCCTCTCTATTCCTCCTACAACGACTGGATTCGACCCCTCCTCAACGCCGTAGACCAGCTATGCCACCTCAATGTCATGAAAGAAATCATCAAGTGCATGAAGAACAGCTTCTGGGGGGTGTTTGTTCTTTAGTTGCACCACCAGACCATCTTTCATCAGTGAATCTAGAGAGAGAGAGAGAAGCTAGAAAACAAGGGGTGGAGGAGTTGGATTTAGGAGAGTTATAGATATTCTTGGAAGAGGTACGACTTGCAAGGATGTGGAGAACCAGAGCTTGCTAGACACAATGGACCACCTCTCGGACCTCCGACGGATGGGAGAACCAGAGCTTTGCTGATGATTTGCTAATAATAGAGGTATGGCTTGCAAGGTTGTGGAGAACTAGAGATGCTTAGAATTGAGAAGAATCCAGACCTCCTCCTTCGTCTCAAGCGAGAGCTGGGAGGTAGACCTTCGAATGGCAGCGGAGTTACCTATGTTCCCATCACAATGGACCAACTCTCGGACCGCCTAAGGTTGTGGCGGTGGTGGCCATCGGAGGTGGCGATGGAATCGGCAAATCATCAACAACAATAAAAGGACCCTCGCAGTCGAACAGCTCTTGGATCGCCATTGACACAGCAATTGAACAGACTCACAGTCTCAGTCTCAAGTGAAAGAGACTGAGCGATGGCCGGTGATACAACTGCTCAGTCTCAATCTTTAACCTCCTCGTGCTCACTTGAACAACAATTGTATCAATGGCGATGGCCGGTGATACAACAACAATTGTATTAAAGAGATGAGTGGATGAGCACGATCCTCACAGTCTCAGTCTCAAGTTAAAAACTCGCCATTGATACAGCAGTTGAACAGACTACTTGGCGATGGCCAGTGATTCGCAGGAGGGGGTGGACGTGAGGAAGAGGAAGACAACGAGAAGTTGGATTCGAGGAAGAGGAAGAGGAGAGGAATGTCATCAACGCTGCTATTGATACAACAATTAACGGGTGAATTAAATTGTCACAAAATGAAAGTTTGGATACTAGATTGTTGCATTTTAAAGTTCGGGTAAAGATGGTAGCTTATCAACGTTTATAAGATAGAGTTAGAGTAGTTGACTTTCTGATTAAATATTATTTATTCATGTATTTGAGATCATCATTTCTTGAACTAATTTCGGGTTTAAATATTCTTTTCCTTCAGAAATTGGAACTAGGGGTGATCATTTCAGCCCGACACGGCCGGTCCGCATAAGTCCACGCCAGAAATTTCGGGCTTGGGCTTAGGTTTTGTATAATTTATAGTATATATAATATTTTATATTGTATAATGTATAAAATAAGTTTATATGCATGTTATGTCATTTAATATAAAATATTATAAATATGTAATATTTTATATATGAATGACATTGGTCTAGAACTAGGCCCGACCCAGCCCAGACCCATATAAACCTAGGTTAGGACTTATGTTTCAGGCCCGAAACCTTGGGTCAAACTGGGCCTAAGCCTAAATTATAATCCTTATTGATGGAGGGAGATTTGGCCCGACCCCGTAGCTCAAGTACACGTAGGCGTGACCTAGCTCAAACAGTGACTCAGCATGACAGCACAACGGACATGAGCACAACTCGGTGGGGAGGTCCCACCGATTTTAGCACGGCAACTCGGCAGGTAAACTACTCGTCGAAAGCCGCCTCGCCTGCACCTCCTCCCCGGGGTTAAGGCACTTCGGGGGGTCCCGAGTTTGGGGCACCCTGACCCCTTTTGAGACTCGAGCTCCTCCCAATGGACATCGGGCCACTCCCAAGCAAGAACGCACCGATTCTTCTTCGGACACCCCAAGGCACAAAGACCTCGGGTCGGCTAGCTCGGCATAACCGGCTGCAGGCAGCCCGTCACTCAAGGGACAGCCCAGCTCAAGGCGATTCGCAGGAGAATAGCTCGGTATACCGTAGGAGGGCTTCTAGCACAACCACCGTACCCGACAAACCTGCGAATTGCAGGCATGTCCCCTCGCCGCGCCTGCCACCTTTAGAAAGGCGTCCCACACCTGACAGACACGTATCCTGCACGACGGCCCCGCACGTGCCACCTCATCCTTGCCTGTAACGGCTGTGGCAGACGGACAGTGGCAGTTATACCTGCCCTATCAGAAGTCAGAGGGCCCAGAGCAACGGAATTCAGCTATAAGGAACTTATCCTCAAGGAACAAGGGATCTGGAATAGCTAGTGCAACCTGCACTCTTAGTGTTCACTCTCTTTTAACTTCTTGCACACAGTACTAACTTAAGCATCGGAGCGTTCCCGTCGGGAAACCCCCCGGGAGTTCTTCCTCCTTCTCGTTTCAGGTACTTCTCAGGAGCCACGCGAGCGCCAGCTAGGAGTGATCGGATTGTGCTACATCATTTGGTGCCGTTTGTGGGAATCGCTTCAAAAAGCCTTTCCCTCCAAACTCTATCAGTTCCTTCTTCTTCCTTGAAACAATTCAACACTCATGGCTTCTTCTAGCAACGTCAGACGAAGCACGGAAATTGATAACTCCAGGGAACAA